ATTATCTTCTTTTATATATCATCTATACCATGTAGTTCTCGGCTGGATACCTTTGTGTCATGCACAAATTGTACATCCATATGCAGAAGCCCTGAGACTCACATTTGTCTCAGAGGCTTTTTCTTTTAAAATCATGACAATGATGTAGAGTCATCTATTTATTAATCTACAACATTTTCCATATGTTGCCAGATTCAATTAGGCACTTGGTTTATTCTCTCCAAATGAATCATATCATTCCCTCACACAGAAAGCCTTTCTTTTATTTTCCTGCAGCTCTACTTACATCATCTATGAGTACTACCTGATAGGCCATGATGGTATCTTTTTTGTTGTTGTTGTTGATTTTATTGGGGAATTGGGGAAGGGGAACAGTGTTGGGGAATCGGGGAAGGGAAACAGACAAGTTGCTGTCCTTTTGTTCTTCAGTCTAGTTGTGAAGGACACTGCTTCACTGGCCCATGTTGGTATGATCATTGCGCTTTTCCCAGGTGAGGCACAGCCATTGGAAGGACGATCACGGTGGCTCACAGCCACTGCAGCCTACGCCATCGCCAGCGACTCATGGCAGCCCAGCTCCAGGCCAAGCTTCTGTTCACCATCCCAGCTGCAGAGGGCACAGCATCATTGGCCCTCACACGTGGGGTCTGAACTGGGGCCCTGCTGCTCAGAGCTGGCGTCCCAAGCCAACTCCCAACCAATGTACCACTCGGCCGGCCCCCATGATGGTATCTGAATAGCTCCAAGTTCTTTATACTTCCTAATAGTCTGATAGTTTGATTTTGTATATGTTTATACTCTTATTTATCAATAACTATTTAAATGGATTCAAACTTATTTTATACAAAAGAGACACCTAACTGGAGGGCAGAGCTCTTTTTGAAGGTCAAAGCTCTTCTTGTTAATCGTATAATTTCCTTACAAATTCTAATAACTGTAAAGAACCCTGCAGTCTAGAAAAATGCTTTTTTGAGATAACTGGCTGCCTGCTTCCTAGTTCAAAGTTAGATACCTGAGTCACAACAGTATTCACGGATTACCAGCATCTTTCATATAAGTGGTTGAATATTTGAAAGTTGATTCTTCTTTATGTTTTTTAATTCTATTCTCTGTGTTCCAAAAGCATAATATAAGACAGGCAACTATAAAAACAGGTATATTAAAGTATACTTATAAATTTAAAAAGGAGGGACTTTCTTGCAACGTTTCTTTAACACATCTAAATTAAATAAATGTATACATTTAAGCAATGTCTACTATACAAATCATATATGTATATAACCTATTACTGTTTATATGGTAAAATTTCACTACTTCCCAATAGTAGAAAAACATCAATTATATAAGTTTAATACAACTTCCTTTCAAATATCTCTGCTGTCTAGAATTGGGCTACCAGTGTGAGAAAATACAAAGATATAAAAAGATAAAAGGAGATCTGCTTTTAAAAATATATACAAGTTCATAATCAAGAGGTCAATTATTTGATACTTTTGAAAACGTGAAATTTTTTTGCTATAAGAAAAATAATTCCTTTAAACTCATTTACATAATGAATCTGTTTTATAGCTTTCATTTATAAAGAAAACATCAATTATCGGCTTATTTCATGTCTCATACATAAAACAATCAGTATATATTCAATAGGTGCTCTTTTCTCAAAACAATGTATGTAATTGCCCTCATTAAGTGCCATGCCAAATAAGAAAGCTATTAAATAGCTCCAATATACATCTATCTGCCTTGCTTCCAACATATACCCTTTTAGAAGACTAAACAAAACAATTTATTAATTTTTATCTGGCATTACACATATTTTAGAGTAATAGAAGATCCCCAAAATCTTAAGGCTGAAGGTTTCCTATCCATCATCAAAACATCTCTAAGAAAATACTGATACAAGAAAAAGGAAAGAAAGAAAATACTGATGCATACTTAAAATCCTTACCATACTATTTTCACACTTAGGATGTACCCAAGTTTATTTTACAAGTACATAATGTGGATGATAAAGCTGCTCACTGCACCTTACTGGACTAATAGCCTCATTTCAAGTTCTTTTTGAGTAATTAAAAACCTAACTAAAGAAGCACCCTTGCATAACATAGCTTGGTAAATAAAGGGCATCAAGACAGATATAAAAACTGATTCCA